TCCCGCAGCGTGGGGAGAGGGAGGGGTGGAAAGGAAGGGCCATCAGCTTACAGCATAAAAACAATTAAAAAAAAAAAATTAAAATAATAATAAAAAGACTACTTTTCCAGGTTTGTCACAGCCATTAGATATTAAATATTCTAAATAAATAAATAAACAAATAAAAATTTAAAAGACCATGAGTCGTTTTTATTGCATCTCTCCTGGCTTAAGCGCTTTATTTGGACAATAAAAAATAAATAATAGGAAAAAGAAAAAAGAAAAAAAAAAGAAAAAACCAACCCTGTGTGCAATTGATGCCCTCACTTCCCTGACGGCCTCGGATCCCTCGGATGTATCGCATCCCCCAATCCCGCAGCTCCACCCCCTGCAGTCCTGGGTCACTCCCAGGGGTGCCCGCACCGCACCGCACCACATCGTGCCGGGCTGAGCGGGGCCGGGAGGGGCCCCACGGCGCCCCCTGGCGTCCTCCCGCCGCCCCGGGAGCTCTCGGAAAGTTGGTTTTGTGCAGCAAGCCGTGTCGTATAAAATTAACGAGGACCAATAAAATTAGCTTCCATGTTTCAACTGTAAAAGTCCCCGAGAAAAGCGAGGTGGTTCGGGGGAAGCGGAGGGGCTCTGGTTTGGCTGCGCTCTCTTTGGCCGAACTGGGGCCCTTTTATCTAAAGCCCAGTGCACAAACATATAGCTTAATGTGACTAGTGTTCTTCCTTTTATTTCTTTCTCTATGGCAACCAATATGTTCTGCTCAGAAATGTTCCCCCATCAAGGAAACAAATGATCGGGAGGGAGCAGCTCTATGCGGCATCTGTTCCGATGGAGCGCACAGAGTTAACCCCGCTCAAAGGAGCGCCGGGCGGTGGCGAGAAGTGGAAAATGAGCGATTCTGCTCCCCCCGCGCGGAAACCGACACCTCCCGGGCCCCCCAACCCCCATTGATCTGCCCATCGACCGCTGCCAAAGGACTCATGCGAGGGAATTAGGGTGATGGCGAGGATCGCGCGTCCAAAAGAGCAGCGGCGGGGGGGAGGAGGGTGGAGGTCGGGGGAAGCTGGGGGGGC